TTCCTCCTATCGCACTGCGACGAACAGTGCACGCAGTTTGACAGTACGGAAATACGCCTGTCTCTCATCTCGTTGAATTCACTACATTTGCTAGGGGAAATGTGTTTTTGTGAGGGGGATGTTCACAAACTGAGGTGTTTTTTTAGACAGCGACAAATGCATAGCAGCACACCAAAGCCTATTTATTGTGCTCTAAGTTAATCATACTAAGCAAGGTGAGCAAAATGACATGGTGTCGTAGTGTTTGGTGGGTGCATGTGGGAAAATGCGAAGTGAATACTAATACGTGAACAACAGCGAATGTCTGGGGAAAATGAAGGTAGTCGAGCACACGCCGCGATGCCTTCATTGGCCAGCAATCATTCGCTTTTCCTCTACACTGGGGAGCATGCGCGTAGAATAACCCGTTAAATTAATAAGAAGTGCATGGTTTGCTTTGTTCCTTTTCTCCCTAAAAAAGTGCATAAACATGCATTGTGTCAGTGGTGCACATACTTTTATTAATTTCGTGATATCCAAATCTACGCACCTTAGTCAGAACACCATTCACGTCCCTTAAGATATCTAAGGTGCTTGCCGTTTCTGTCCACTCTTGCGACTTACCTTTAGACTGCGATGACGCCTTAGTTTGTCGAAAACACAACTAACATCAGGGAATCAAAAAGCCTATTTTAGGAGTTAGATTCATTTAATGGTTTTCGTGAGTCGCAGCATTTTTCAGCTAACAAGACTTGGTCAAGTTTAATCCATTAACACCTGCTAATCGTAGGCTACTTGAATTAGTGTAACATCATTCTGCTGCAGCAAAACGCCTCGTGTTCTGCCATTTCAGATCAATCACTATTATTCCCTTATTACTGAAGATCACTAAATGACTCTAGTATCTGCGCATAGACAAGCAGTCGGTATAACAGCAGGCAGTAGAGTGCATAGTTCTGTTAGCATGTACTTACTGGATTGTTTTAATTAACCTATCGATGTCTTCTACTGTCGGATCCTGTGCACTCCAATCTTTGGCTATGGACGCAACTTCAAACACCGTGAAAAGGACATCTGTGACGATGAGCGACTTGGTCGCCATCTTAAGCGCCCGGCGTGTCTTGTTTGCGGCCGCGAACGCCGCTTTGGTGGCTCGGCCAGCCTTCATGGCCTTTCCGATTTACCGTTGTGCTCTCGACGCTGCCTTCAAAGCGAACACCAAGGGCACTTCGATAGCCTTTGGAATTAGCGTGGAGAACCACGAGGCCTCATTTTTTGTCTCGTCTTCTGACACTTCTTCACATTCCTCCTCCTCATCGATTTTGATGTCATTGACAAGGCACATCAATCTTTGGTCAGCCTCCTTAATTCTTGTCTCCAGCTCTTTGATTCTCTTTACAAGGTCTCTTGGAATAAGTGTAAATAGCCCACATCGAATTAAAACAGCTTGATTTTGTGCAGAAATGATAAGCATAGACGGATTGTGAGAACAAATGATTGATGCCATCGGTTGAGTCTGGTTAATTTCAATATAGAAATCTGGATTCCTAGTTAGCAAAGACAAATTCACACGGTTAATTTTGTTAGTTTTGACAGAGGGGAATTTGCACTTTCACCATAACTGATTAGGTGTGAACCAGTATTTAGGAAAGGTAGTTGCCAACAACAAAGCCTGTGATCATTTTGATTCACAAGGCATTCCAACGCTTCGTAAACACATTTGGTTTGCTCTGTCGTGTCAAGATCAATGCGACACACCCAGCTCCTCAAGCACTGCGTAACACATTTAGTGACTAGCATATCAAACTGTGCCTGTAACTGTGGTCTTGTTCCTGTAGCTTTGAATGCTTTTTAAGTGTCAGCTTTGTTGCCAAATAAGGCCTAATGTGAAACACCGCCAATGCGCATGTAAGAGGTAAGATTTCAAAGCCAGTACATGCCTTAGTTTTGTGTTCTGTCAAAATTCAGATTGTCTACACGGAACATCGCGTAAATCGCTTTAATGACTTTTGTTTGTCCTGACCCGTACAGATGCATGCTTTTCACCACAACTCAAACCTGCCTTTTTGGTGACAAATTGAATCACATAAGTTCACGCTACCTCCAGTGACATTTTCTGATTCGTAATTAATACGCGTGATGTTACTCCATGTGTCATCCAGTAATGCAAGGACTTACTGCTTTTGATGGTGTTGTACACCTTCAGCAATGCCTACTGCGGCTCCACCCACTAACCCCGTTGTCATGCCACCTGCCGTGGCGGCCAAACTCAATCCGCCAGTTAGTGGTGCTCCGATAAACCCGATGATGGAAATCACCGTTCCAACAGTTCCCACAGCAGCACCAGCGGACCTGCCAGCCAAGCACCCTGTCCTTAGGGAGATAATCTGCTTTTTCACTTGTTCCAATTCATTTGTAACTGCATCAAGCACCTTGATGTAATTTGGTATTTCGTGGAGAGTTTTCTGTAAGTCCATGTTTATAAATATTGCTTGTGATAACGTCTACTAGCAAACTGTTAACGCACTGGGGTGTATTACCTTACAATAAATTTAGTGGCACTCTGTTATAGTCAGTCTAACCTGTGCATTTATGCAAGGAATGCTCAAACACCATTGGTCGGTGTGTCGGGCCTCCTTGAGACCGGCGCGGGTGGTTTACGTAGTGGTTGATAATTAGAATTGATTTTTTTAGTTTTTTGCAAATAAAACATTCTTGTATGTGAGTGTGCATGTGAATTGATTTAACACAGTGTCACAGAGTGTAAATGGGATCGCAGGCGTCAGTCGTTACATGAATGCTGAGGACAAATTTTAGTTAATCAAACCACCGGGTGTTGACAGCGTCAACTAATAATTGCTAGTTGTCTTAAAAGTTGACTTAAAAATGTTTCATTACCTTAACTTATGCCTTGCATATCACAGCAGCAGTAAAAACATCAATTCGACTAAGGTTACAGAAATTCGATGAGAAAGAGTACTTCTGTTTGGCTGTCAGTTATGATTAAATCTAGTAACGTATCTAATTTTAGACACAAAACTTGTTGTTTTGAATAATTAATATCATGTAATTTTTTACATGGTTTTAATGGTGAAGTGGGGCATTAAAGGTTCATTTTTTTCGCTGTACAGGGCCAAATACCAATTGCCAATAGATCACTATCCCGTCTTCTTCGTTATCTTAAAAAGGACGTAGTGCGTAACAATTTTACATAAATAAATAGAAAGCACTGTTATATTTTGTGCATTAATTTATAACGAAATTACGGAATGACGAATTGTAGCAAAGTCGAACTTGTTTCTCATCTAGCTGAGTTCATAACTTTTGCTCGGGGGAAATGTGTTTTTGTGAAGGGAATGCTCAAGAACTGAGGTGTTCTTCTAGACCGAGAGACATGCGCAGCAGCACTTCAAAGCCTAGGACGCAGAGCATTGGGTTTTAATTGCGAAAAAACAATCTTGTCAAGCATGTTATACAGATTTCGACGTTTAGACGAATTTGATAGGCATCAATTTGCAATTTGACCTGTACAGTAAGGTCGAGTGCACTAATGCTACAGAAAATTTTGCTGATCACAAATTGATTGGCATATTTGGTAACATCACGCTCATCAGTAGCTAATACTTCCTTTTCAACACGTTTTAATGTTACTTTTTTGGACCCTCGTCCATTTATTTAGCAGAATTTTTGTTGAGCCTAGCGAAATTTTTGTGTTAATTTTCGCTCAAACAACTAGTTCAATGACTTACATATTTTACACATTTTTCTGCTAGTTCATGTATAGTAAGGTAAACAGAAGCAATATCGTGCAAAGATCATGCATGCACAAATTTTTAAATCAGCGGATATTTGGAATTACTTGTCACTTATAGGTTGTAATTTTAAAATTTTTTTCTTCTTGGTTTAAAACAGATTTTGTACTTCAAAGTACCCATCTGCATTATTTAAGACGCTTCATTTTTGATTCAAAAATTGCTATTTCGTTGCAATAACTTTTGGTTTAGTGGGCAATGCAGTTAATTTGCTCAGGCATAAAGGTTCATTAGAAATACCGCGCGCCCAGTGTGTAAGTACTTTATTTTGCCATTTTAGAAGTCACCTGCTCATAAATAGATTTAAAAGGGAAATTTCTTATGGCATCTGCTTGCAAGTTTTTATTCATTTCAAATATTTTTCATGGTACAATAGTTAAAATTGTGATCATTTTCTAAAATGATAAGATTCATGGATTTTGTATTAAAACTTCGCTAAAATAAGCCTAATTTTAAACTTTAGTTTTTACTAAATTCAATGGGCTTTTTTATTAAAATGCGTTAGCTTGAACAGACACAAACGTGATAAACGTTTTCTTGTTTTACTAAATCAACCTGGTGTTTTCTACAGGTCATTTAAGAAAGGTTTTTTTTGACAGAAATCAAATGGGAAGTCTGTGACGCGCGCCATTCGACCCACGCACGCCGGTCTGGCCTGTTCTTTGTCCTCCTCTCCCTTCCCGCATTCTTGCCTTCCTCAAAACACGTCCGTGAGTCCGAGGGCAACGCCAACCTTCCTCGCGGCCATCCCTTTCCCCACTCTAACTCTCCCTAAGCTCTTGCCCTCTGAGTTTGTATGCGGTAGCATGGAATACACCCGGTTCTTCCAGCTATTCTTCTATCGTGTGCCTGGTAGCTAACCATGATGGTGTGGCTATCTAAGAGGGACGGGCTAACAGTCACTTCCCTATTTAGGTCCCCTCTCGGTAGGCGCGTTACAAATCGACTAGGAAGGAAGCCATTGTGGGACTTGTTTCAAATTCGTTAATGGTAATCTTAATTTAGTTATTAACGGTAGCATTTATGTAACATTTTGAAGGCTGCATTGTTAATGCCTGTTTTTGTCGAAAACCATGTTTCATAAATAGTTATATCTATGCAGATCAAATCACAGATGTGGGTGTTTTCTTTAATATATGCAAAAAACTATTGCAAAAACTTTGGTTTTTTTCAAAATAATGTAATGCGCATGTATGCACATCTGTGACGTTAATGTGGCGGCTTTGCTGTACTATGCATTACTATCTTTATTTAATTTTTTTGCCTTTTTTCACAATTTTTTCCTTCTGCGGTAAGCAACAGACTATCTGTTGTTGCTTAGAAACGTTTTAAAATAATTAGCTCCTAATGGCGACATTTCGTAAATTACTCTCCGACTATTTAGCTCTCAATGGGTTTCTTCAGATTGGAACTCTTTTTTATACCATTTAATACTTCACTCGATCTCAACTTAAACGCACTTAGTAGTCATTAACAAATCAATTTGGCAGTTGCGCCCATAACTTGAAGTGTTTTAAAATATATTTGCGGAACTAGTTCTCTTGCCATAATTAGCCATTAGATTGTTGAGAACTAAAATACCGACTAAGCTGAGAAGTTTATCTGCGTGAATCGGCAATCCGTTCCATAAGTTTTCATGATGAAATGGCCTATTTGTTGTATTAGAAATACGCAAATTGTACTACGTTGCTTTTGGGTTGCAATATTTAAACAACATTTAAATTAATTGATGTCCATTCCATTTTGTCCTGCATCAATAATAGTAGTCATTTGTGGTTTAATTCCATTGTACTTGTTAGCTAAAATAACAAACCCACTTTAAATATGAACTTTGTTAATAACCTTGTAGGTTGCAAAGGAGCAGTTTTAGCCCCAAAATCAACTTCTTCAAGCATTGTGACGGCAATACATCCTGACGACACGACGCGTATTACCAAGTACGAAGTAACTGTTTTTCCACACGGACCCACAGAAGATGTGTGTAGTTGGAGCTCGCCAAACACCACTTGCCTGTCGCATCAATGGCTTACAAGCAGGCAAATAGTACACAGTCGATGTTTGTCTCTGGAATGAATCAACTCAAAAATGCGACGATCGCCTTAGAGGAGATAGTTACACAAAGCCAAATTGGAAGTGCGTAATGCTTGGCTTCGGCCGTATTCAGTATTCCATTGCTTTCATAGACCTCTACCGTCAAATAGTCATTACTTTAATAGTCTAAATACTAATATCCCCTATGAGTGATTAAACTCTACACATATGTCATAGAACAAAATTTTGAAACCTCTGTTCCTTAATCATTGTCAGGAAGTCCGCGACTGTGTGAGGCAGGGGTCCTGAACTGCAGCGTACTCTAGTCAAGAGTCCTGACTAGATTCCATGGTGGTATCTGTTGCCGCTTAGGCAGTTAATCTCACCTAGGAGGCGTTAACGTAGGACTCCGCAAGAGGACCGCTCTGAGTTAATAATGCAGCATTATTGAGTGGTGTTCACTTCTAGCACATGTAAGCGACAATTTCAGCAGACATACCACGACTGAAGTTTTAAGATCCAAGAGTGGGATTGGGCATTTCCGGCCTAAAATCACCATCGATTGATCATCTAACAATGCAATATCGAGTGTAAAAAACAGTAATCAGTTATTAATCTTCTATTCAGACACAGCTTATTTAAACCTCTTGTAAACTTTTACAATTCACCTGAATTTGTGATTATAATCTGCACAGAGGAAAGTTGAAGTGCCGTTTCCAATGAATCTACAGGAAGGTTGAAAGGCAGCAAGAATGCATAATTTAGTTTACAGGTGAATCAATCGACAGATTGAAACTGTCTCTGAACAAACCCATAAGTGGTTTTGTGATAATATCGCAATACTTAAAAATATTCAATTCGACTAAGGAGTTATCCGTCTTTGGCAAGTCATCGATTGTGATCTGTTTAAGGTACACCCCCACAAAAACTATATGCTCCACTTACACGTGTTGATTTAGAATGGTACCGCCTCATGTGTCAGCCATTCACAAAAAGACAGAGGTCTGCGTCATTCTATTGCGCCAATTAAAAAGAACCCTGATTGTGAAACAGAAGCAAATATAGTCTGACTGACATATACGTGATTAAATATGTACGTGATTATCAATCTTGTAAAGCGGAAATGAATGATCAGTCCCAATATTTTTGCTTGACGACTTGAACAAGCTGGTCGTTGAGTAAAAATAGAGGCTAAATTGACACATACACGACAGCATGTTGCTGTATCTGTTGAGATCTTGCTGAAGATGGTCAGCATTTTGAGAAAGGTTAAATGCCTGTTCCTGTTTTTTCAAAAGGGTTGTAAGCACCCAGTGAAATAAGAGTTAAAATTTTAGGATAAAAACGAAAATTCTTAACCTTTATAGCTATGTATCAAGGCTATCTGTAAAGTAGTTGAATGTAGTACTAGCGTTGTAAATTAAGCAACATCCATTCCATAAACCCACCTTTACTTTAAACGCGTCTGCAAACAAACCTGCAGTCATTTCCCAAAATCTTGGAATGAAATGAATACGTGCCTACAAAAACAACTACATTTTTACCTGAGATTGTGTGAATGCTTGTTTTACTGTAGATATATGCATTTACGCAGGAATGATTGAAGATTAATAGCATCTAAAGTACTGATATTA